CGTTACGTCCCCGCGCAGCGGGGGCCCCGTGCACCATTCTCCTCTCCATCGCGAGCGCGACGGGGCCCGGACCCCTATTCCCCCTCCCCGTCGTCCTCGTAGTTCACCCGGCGGAGTTCCATCCTCCCAGAAGGCATCTTCTCCGCGCGCACGGCCGGGCTTCTTCTCTTCTCTTCTCGGGCCCAAACGTTCTCCACGCTGCCGCAGTCGCGTCCGCGATTCTGATCGCGCAGGTAACGCGGGATAGGAGTGCGAATCAAGAACCGAGAAGTTCGAGTGAATTCGAAGAAGAGAACACCTCCGAAGGAACCCCGACGTGGAACATGGAGTTCACGAAGCGATGTCTCGTCCTCATCTTGGGTACGTATTGTCAATGCGGTTTCAAATCGAGTTTGAACGTCAAAGTGATCGTCTTCGTCGAACAGAAAATCTTCGTCGCGACGGAATTAAATCTTTGACAAGCTTGACACGACTCGAAGGATTTTATTCGACGATAATTTAAATGATTTCTTCGTACGTTTGTTTATTCAAAATACGTTCGTAGAAATTGAGACTTTCGAAATAATAATCTTCGGCACTTTCGATATAATAGTCCTCGTGCGTGCGGTTATGATTGCATGAATACACATACTCTTTTATGCATACTCGATATCCCGATGTGAAAAGGATCGATATCCATTGAGATTATCACCATGTATCCCATTTATGTCTTTATAATGAAAAGATGACTTCACTGTTTGAATATTTAAGTGATCATATGTAACCAAACATGAATTCGTCGAAGTTAATTGAGAAAAAATTTAGAGCATTATACAAAAATGAAGATTTTCTTTATAATACATTTCATGAAAATAGAAAATTTTCATAAAAATAAAATAAAATGAAAAATATTGCAGATCGATAAAACATATCGATAAAAAAAATATCGCAAAGTTCTTTTGATATATTCGGCTATTTTAATTTCTAATATTTAATTATAAGGATTAATAAATATCTAATAAAACATTAACATAATATTAATAAAACATTAAATGTAAATAGATAATAATTTAAAATATTTTTTTACCTCGTCATTTTCTCGTTTTTTTTTCTTGTTTGCTTAATTAAGTTTTAATACAATTATTTTACATTCGACAAATTTTTATTTTTTTTAATATTTCAATTGTAGAAAATGTAAAATTTGGGATTTGCATATTTCAGTGGGAATATTATGGAGTTGCGTACTAGGTCTTCAAAGACCACCACCGAGATATTCTCAGCAATATATGCCGGAAACCTCGTTCTCCTGTCGCAATAAGATTGTCGGAAGCTATTACGCGGATCCTGAGACCGACTGCCAAGTCTTCCATGTCTGTGTCTCTGTGGCTGGAACTATCCAAGACTACAAGTGAGAGTACTATATTAAAACCTTAATGAATAAAAATAATATTTTTTTTTCAATTTTTTCGTATCTAACAGTGAATATGCATTTGTGTACTGCGCGCTAAAAAAATTTTTCTAAATAAAAAATGCTAAAAATATTTAAAGCCAATCATCGAATATGTGAAATCAAAATGGCTTAATTAATCAATTTTTATTTAGGTTCTTATGTCCCAACGATACCGCCTTCGATCAAGAGAGTCAAACCTGCGCGGATTGGTACGACGTGGATTGCGAGGCCGCGACCCTCTATTACGCCAGCGACAACTTCGACTTGTACAGAATTGGTTCCGGTCTGGAGTCTGTGCACTACGACAACTTGCGTAGCGACGCCGAGCCCCAGGATCATCTTCAGCGCAGCGAAACCAGCGACGCCGTTCGATCTTCCGCGAACGCAGTGAATCGAGTATCGTCGTCCAACTATAATAACCGCGACATATTGCGCGGTAGCAGCAGCGGCAATCTCTACAATAGGAACAACAAGGAAGATGAATACGAGACTGAGAAGTCGTACAAGGAAGATCTGAGTCAAGACACTAAGAAGAAGGGAGGCATCAGAAAAGTTAGTAGAAAGCAACCGTATACCGGCAATGGAAGCAACTATTCGCCAACAACTACCACGTCGGCACCCGCCGAAACCCGTAGTCGAAACAACTACAACGGTAATTATTACAACGGTAACGCGTACAATCAACAATCTACGACGTACGTCTCGTCAACGACAACCCGGCCTCAAGAAAACTACAACAGGAATCAAAACACGCAAAGATATAACGTACCGTCGTCGACGTATCGACCTACCACAACGTATCAAGATACATATAGCAGTTACCAGTCACCCAGCACGACTACCAGGACAACTCCAAATATCTACACGAATTTCTTCAATCTTTACAACTCGAATTACAATCAGCAGAATACTGGCAGTCCCGTTCAAGTCACAACGCTGAGACCGAGTAGCTACAATCCTAAGAACAATCAGGCTTATCAAGGCCAATTCGCGCAATCCACCACTGTCCAGCCGAGCACGAATTATCAGACCAGCGATTACACTAATTATCAACAGAAGAGCTACAACAACATCCAACGAGGAAACATCGCATCAGTTGCATATCAATCCACCACGTCTGCGTCTACAGTTTATAACAATAATTATAACAACAACGGCCAATACAGATCAGTTTCGTCCACTAATCAGGACATCCCTCAAACCACTGCCAAATATTATGCCAACAATTTTGCAAGCAGCAATTACGCACCAACCACTTACAGTCCGGCGACGAAGAAGTACGCGAACGTAGACAATACTGTGGCGCAGGTTGCCTTGAGGAACAACGAGAACAACCAATATTATGACAAAACGAGCCAAGCGGTTAAACCTTCCACTCAATACTACGATAGCACGAAAACACCCAAGAAGGCGACTCAATACAACAATTATGATAACGCGAGTAGCGGCAAGTCGTATTACATCGAAACTAGCACGGGGAGCTTCGACCTCGCGAGATCTTCCGTAGGAATCGGTTTTAGTCCCGCGAGTATTAATCATCTCGCTGAATCGCCAAGGACTACCACGCCGGTACCAAGGTAAATTTCCGGAAATTTATAAACTTAAGGAAATTATCGCCTAAAATCACATTTTTAAACAAAGTTCACACATATTAAAATGGATCTAAGTTAAAATTGAAAATTTGTCTAGAAATAAAATTTTATTAAAAATATAATATTAAGAAATATATTTTAAAAAAATTTCAATATTTTCTATTCATCTTTTATAATGACATCAGACTCTGCGAATCTTTTTATCTTAAGATAATTTTACAAATTGTCCGTAATATTAGGAGATCAATTGCAACATTTTTTTTTCTTATTACAGGCGACCGTCTAACCCCACCACCTACAACCCGAACAATTTCAATTCCAACGCTCAGAGAACTGTCCAACCGACAACGACGCCACGTGGAGCCACTTACGTTAGCGGATCCGCGAGACCATTCTCGTCGACGACCAGATTACCTAGCAGCAATAGCAACAGCGGCAGCAGCACGACAGCGCGACCAAAATCGGGCAAGAAAAACGATTACGATTACGCATATTACGATAATACGGGTGGTTTGGAATACGATGGAGTCGACCTCGAGCACGTCACCAGCAACAAAGAGTCCACGAAAATTGCGAGGAATTAAAAACGAGGTTTTCGCCTCATTATATGTTGCGTCAAATCTTTTTGAAGACCTCGTCAGTGATGTAAAATACCGAGGAGCAGGTATCTCCTCCTTATAGATACAGATTTTTTAATCTGTATCTCTAAATATGTTTTTTGCAAAGAAATTTATTTTTATTTTTAAATATTTATTTGCGAGATATATCATTTTAAAGAAACACGCTCTGAAAAATTACATTTTAAATCAGTTTCAATATAATTATAAATCAAAATGCGAAAATGAAATATTTAATTAGATGTACTTTTGAGGTATTTATAGCTAGGTATTTATAGCTATTAATAATGGAAGTATATCTTACATCACTGGTCGAGAAGGACTCCAAAAATCTTGTAAATCATCGTTTATTAGTGGCCAGTCATCATCAAAATCGGTCTTCGATTAAGGAATATTCGTGAAAAGGCAAACATAAAGTATTGAATACCGATTTTGAAAAAAAAAAAATCATCGATCGATTTAATCAACTTAAATATGTTCAATCGAGATTCGACGGCTCGTCCGCCGTTAATAACAATATAATTTTGTAGTTCAGTATTCTAGGATAATTGTTTACGCATTCTACGATGTTTAATCCGCGTAGCATTAAGCGTCGATTTATCGATATTACAAATATAGAACGTTGAAAAATTCTGAACAATATTAAACGCAAATTGTTTCCTCGACATTAATCTTATCCCGTTTGTTTCATCGCGTAAAAAGAAAACATTGAGATTATTATCAACGCTTACTATGTCTTGGTAACAGTAGTGCGAAGTTTGGTTGTCGAGACGTTAAATTTTTCATATATTTTGTGCATATATATCGACAAAAACCCGCACGAAACGTGTTCAGATTTTAGATTGTTTAATTATCTGCGTCCCCTAAAGTATATACGTACTGAGTGTATATATACTATAACTATTTTAATTAAGAAAAGCATTAAATAATATGGTTTATATTATTTCATCCTTTCTTAATGAGAATCTTTTTTTCCTATCCTATTCATACCTTGTCCTACTCAATAAAAAAATTAAACTTCAATCTATGCAAACGTTTATGAAATACAAAGAAATGATCTAATATAATTTTCAAGGATACAGATGAAATTTTGATAATTTCTTAAATAATGCATGAGTTATATCTACATAAAAAATTGAACTATTGTTATATCAAGCTATAATTGTGATGTAAGTAAGTATTATAAGTTATTTTTGTTACAATCTTATAAAATTAAATAACGATTATGGATGCAAAATTATTGCAGGTTTGTATCATGTATCTTAATTAATTCGCACATCTAATCAATTTATTAAAAAATTGTCAAGTCAGTAAATTACGATTACACGAAATTTACTTGACGAAACCATCAGCTATTCATATTACGTGTAGCGTACATCTTATTATTTATGTAGTGTTGATTAAGCAACGCTACGATCGCACGGAATTCACTTGACGAAACTGTCACTTATTCTTATTATCGAGTAATGTATAACTAAATTATTTATGCATATTGTTTGGACAACGCTACGATCGCATATAAGTTAAACTGTCAGCTATTCACGCTATCAATTGTAATATATAACAACCTGTGTGTATCACATTAATCATCCGATATTTCTTTTCTTCGCCAAAACTTTCTAAGCTTTACATGAATATCAATTTTAAGTCTACAAATTAAAAGGTTATAGTATTTCCCTTACCTTGCACGCGATGAAGGTATCATTTGCCATTTCCTTCCAGATCCGTCTGTGAATCTGACACTTTTCCGAGTTAAATCACACGCGTAATATATTTTAGATGAAAAAATAAAGAAAAAAATTGACAAAAGAGACATTTCTTTGCATTGCACGTAACAATCGTGGAAGATCATGGGATGATTCACAAAAATACGTCACAGTGCGTTTCTAATGCGAAGATAGCAATTTATATTGACGCGCATTTTTAGAGTAAAATAGGTCACGTGATCAAAGTTGATGCAGAATAGTAAAATTTGATTGGTCATTGGTCATCTATTTTGATGCTGAAATGAGCGTCGAACGTCAGCATGAAAAAGAATTAGAATTGTAATTTTGAATCAATCGAGATATTGCGAGATCTCGAAATATCGAAAATATGACGTCACGACGCGTCAAGTAATCGCATATATGTATCTGTTCGATTACGGTCCAACGAATGTGAATTCATATTTAATAGTGTCAATTATCGCTGCACGTTGTTCGTCGCATTTATTTTAGATAGATCAACTTACAATTCAGGTATTCAAATTTCTCGATTGTAATTTTCGCATATAATTTCGTCCTAAATGTGAATTACATAATATTCGCGTCTTGACATCATGTAAAACGAGAGGGGAATGGAAATTATCCACGTTAAGAATTCTATGTCCATCTCGTAAATCTAAAAAGATCACAGAAAACTTTTATCGATTTTGTGAGAAATCATGAAAAGTATTCATCATATGCTAAAGATTTGGTCTTTGCGCAAATTTCTTGACCTCTTGTTTGATTTCGAAGGATTTAGACTGTTGCATAATCTGAATTTTAAGGTTATTTCGTGAATATTTAGGTTTGTTTTTTGCCCCTGCATTGAGTTGCATTAAAACTTTCTCTCTCTCGCTTTAATCAAGTTTTAAATATATATCTTTAATTTTAAGTACTAGTTTAGCTATAAAAAAAACAGATTATTTATTTCAATTTCTAATAGTCTCATTAATTGTTTCATTGCATTTCTTCATTCCTTTGTCTTATGCATTTTTATCAAGACTTGTCCTTCTTTATTTTTTTCTTTTCTCAAGGAAAATATGGGCAATGCAGTCACTACAGCATCTGTATCAGCGGCCGACGTGATCATGCCGTTGTCTCAACAAATCATCAAACCAGAATTTCATGAGATGAGGAAAAGCCAAAGTGAACCACCACCAGAATGTCCTATGCACAAATCGGGTCAATTCAATACTATAAACTATACCAGCGAATGTCCAATAGACAAAATGGATGAGAGTGATATAAATCCATTAAATATGGTATATAAAATTTTTTCAATAATTAAAATTAAAGAGTATGTTGTCTAATCACATAGCATTAGTTTTCTTTGTTTATACATGATACAAATGAATGCAATTTAGATGCCACCAGCGAATCAGCAACCTGCACCAGATCAACCATTTCCTTTGCCAATCGATAGACAGGTTTCATCGATACCAAAAGCAACTGGGGAAGGAGAATTTTGGGTATATCCCTCTCAACAAATGTTCTGGAATGCTATGTTGAGAAAAGGATGGCGATGGAAAAATGAAGATATCTCGCCAAAGGATATGGATGACATAATAAAAATTCATAATGCCAATAATGAACAGGCTTGGCAAGAGGTTCTTAAATGGGAAGCTCTTCATGCACGAGAATGTGGTAATCCAAAATTGCGCAGCTTCGGTGGAAAAGCGTCCAAATATTCTCCACGTGCTCGTATTCGCTATTGGCTAGGGTACTTTGCTTCCTTATAAATCCTAATTCTAAAATTTCGTAAAAATAAAGCGTTGCAATGTAGCATTATATATATTACTCTTTCAGATATGAATTGCCATTTGATCGACACGATTGGATCATAGATCGCTGTGGTAAAGACGTGAGATACATTATCGATTATTACGATGGTGGAAAAGTTGACGAGAAGTACACATTTGCGTTACTTGATGTAAGACCTGCAATGGATTCGTGGGATAACATCTGGGATCGAATGAAAGTGGCATGGTGGCGTTGGAGATACCAATCCAACGATGAATCAGTGTCTACTGCCACAGTACATTAGTCTGTAAATTAATATCAACTTTAAGATATGCTAATGTGAAGAACTTTTAATGAATTGATGATTAATGCCTTAATGATCATATAACGCTTATTACATGAATTATGAAAAATCGTATTACATATACAATGTACGTGTATATAAATTATACATATAAGTATCATAATTATAAGTTTATATTTTAGTTTACAAAACGTCATCAAAGCGGATTGAAAACTATTTGCGTACATCATAATAAAAAATAAATTTTGTATATATTTCTTAAATATATACATGTGTTCAAATATCTTTCTCGTCCATTATATATGTATAAATCAATTTATCTCCGCTATTGAACAATCATAAAAAATGATTTCCTGAGCTAAAAATTATTTTATTTCAACTACGAAAGAAAATGTGAGCTTAAAACCTTAAAATTATACTTAACTCAGATTTGATTTATATAAAATTATTCTTAACTATTTAATTGTGACACTTTTGTGATATTAAATTACTTATTAATATTATAGGAAATTCAGAGACGTACTGCCAGTATTAACATCGAAAAAATATAGATCCATTTAAGGTTTAATCCTAAGTTTTCAAAAACATAAGAGAATTGTACATATATTTATGTTTCATCTTGTAAATGATGGCGTTAATGAACGTTTTATGAATATATACTTTTAATTTTATATCTATGACTAAATTATTTATTAAAATTTACTGCCTTTTTCTTCATCATGTATGAAACAAATAAATTATATATTGCGTTTATAAGATTTCAAAATTATCGAATTGTTGAAAAAATATGTTACAATAAATCTGTCTTAAAGCACCGAACGATTCAGATTTTTGTAATACAGATTATTTTACTTAATTACATTACATTTCAAACTATGGAACAAATAATATGATAAATATTAATCATGTCGTTTATATATTATTTTATTGTCAATATACAGCTCCATTTACTTTTCACAACATTTACAATTATCAGCAGAAGATTTATACATCTCATAATCTATAATTTAATTTTATTAAGAAATTGGGGATCGGTCAATTACAGAAAAAATTAATAATTATAAAAAATTCAAATATTAAAATTGAACGGGCATAACTTTTGAATAAAAATATAAAATCTAAGAATAACATGTGATATCCTTTCTCAGTAAAACATTAAATAATTCATTTTGTAAATTCAAAATATATATATAAATATAGCCATTTCTTTCATCTTTTATCAAAAACAAATTCTTGAACCATTTTTATATAAATATATACCTAATTATTCAAATATTACAAATGATATCTCTTAAAAATATATTGTCTTAGAATATAATTATAATACCAAACCAAAGAATTATATCCTATTTTTTAAATAAAAATATGTGTAATGTTGATTGGATTACAAGTAATTCTGTTTTTATAAATTATTCATTTATAAAGGCAGTTATTATAAGAGCTATATTCTTCATTGACATAGTGTAAATTAATTGATAAATATTAATCTTTCTTAATAAAATACGCAATAGTTAAAGAAAAAAATTTATATACTATTTTATATACTTATAAAAATTTATAATTGACAAATTATCTCTAATCCAAAATTATTGTTATTTTATATTTTTTTACATTTATATTAAGTATGGGCATATACCAATATACCATACCATTAATTTTTTAATAATGTAAGTTATGCAGGACATTCCATAATTCAGACATTTTACATCTATAAAATATATTAATAACATCACATGTATGTATTAATACATGTCCACACATAAAATATAATAAAAGTTTGATATAAATAAGTATTTTTAACATTAAATATAACATTGTAATTCTGTAACTGATAAAACATTCGATTCTTTCATTATTCATTGTTTTAATATTTCAATAAGAGGCAGCTTTTATAAAATGTACCAACATTCGTAATTTTGGTAACATTTACTTTCTTAAACACTGTGTTAATCTTATCTCTTAATACTTTTATTTAGAGTTTGTTTGACATGATGACATTTATTATCAGATAAAACACTACAGATTTGTCTAAATGGAATTTTAACAAATTCTGATGATTGGATAAATAAGATCATATACATTATTGGCACATTAAATGATTTGCAGAGAAATTAATATCGTAACAATGAAAAGACAAATTATGCAATATTATGCTTTAAGAGGCAATATTACACTTTAAAAGACAATATTAGCTTTTCTCTATGCTTTTGTAGATATTAATATTAATTTAAGCATTAATTTAATAAGCATGTGTAATAGAAGCAATAACAATAAAAAATATACTATTTATGATATAACATAAAATATCGAATAATAAAAACTGTCAATTAAAAATATTAATCATTAAACCTCATGTGAACATATAATATGTCTAGCTTCTCCATATTAATAAATAAAAATGTTAATTCATTGCAGAAAAGAATTGATTATATGTAAGGGAAGCGACTGAGATATACTGACGGTTATTAATAATTAGATATATATCATTTATATATATATATATATATATATATATAT